CACCTGTGACCGGCATCTTCAGAGTGCAGGAGCACAGACAGGAGCAGTTCTCTCTGTGCCCAGGGTGATGTGTCCCTTTTGTGTGTAAAATTGTATGTAAAATTGCCTTCGACAATACATACATTATTTAGTTTGCTTCTTTAATAAATCAACACAAATATCAAATAAAAGGAACTTGGAATGCATTGTTGTTTGCTAAGCTGTTTGCAGTCATAAACAGGTGAAATTGGGACCAGAGAGAGTAGAAATCCTTCATTAAAATATAAAACTGTTCACATAGATAGAGCTTGTCCAGTATTGATTATTGATTCTTCTCATTTAAAAATCATTGTAATAATATTTTCATCCTATGTTAGTAAGCTAAATGCCACTTACTGTTTGGTAAACATTAGCAGGAAAATTGTATTTCTCTTGTGCTGTTCTTCCCCTCAGGAGGCACTTAAGTAGGTCACCTTCATAATTTTCTGCTAATTTTAGAATACAATCATCACAATTATTTTCAAGGATGAAATTCTTATAATAAGCTATTTTAAATGTTCTCTTCCAATATTAATATTTCTTCTTAGCTAGGAACTAATAATTAGGGGCATATCAGTGGATTAAATATGAGTTGATGAAGGTATATATCTATCACAACTCAGATATGTTCTCTCTCTTGCTTTTGGACAGTAGCTTTATTAATTGAAAATCTTTGGAGCTGAAGGAGCAGCCTCCTTCTTCACATGTAGCAATTTTATTCCTAGCAACCCAGCCATTGTGGCTAATGATGGGGAATGGTGGAGATTCTACAGTATCTGGAAGTCTATAGATTCTCCAGCCCATTACTATTCTAAGAATAAAATCAGAAACACAGCTGGAAAAGTGGAAATTAAATATCCTTCGGCTTAAACTTGATGGTCTATTTCTTGTTATTCCCATTGCAGTTATTCTTACTAATAGTATTCTTATGTAATTGCTTGACTAATAAAGACTAGATTGATTTTTTTAAATTGACCTCATCCAGGTGGATATACAGCATCAGCTAAAGCTGGTATTGGCATCATTGTAGTCCCTGCAGTGATTGCAGTGCCACTTTTATACTTCCTGTTCACATCAGGTGAGAATCTTCTAGTTTACTTGATTGCTGTATTTCTTTTCAGAGACCAAGTTAAATGTGAGTCTGGAGGTGCAGAGGGAATGCAGAAGGGAAGGAAATCATAAAATTAGTAGGGATGTTATTAGCACTGAACAACAGTAATCTCACTGAGCCTTAGAGAACATTTGGGAAGAAGAAGGAAAAGATTCAGAATTTTGAATTGGCACCTCAGTACCAAATTGTGACATTGCACAAGAGATTTGTTTGTTTCCTTTGATGCTCATTGAATTATCGCTTTCCTTGAGGTTAATAGATGATATTTGACTGTCCTTTGTCAGATAAGATTTTGAGCTAAAAATGCTAAGGATATATGTATGAACCGTTAATTTATTTGTGGTATAAGTAGGTAGCACTAGTTGATGGGCTAATTTGTGGGTTGAACTTGTTGGCAGAGCCAACTTTAGGTCAAGGCCAAATAGGCACTGGCCTAGAGCACCAAAGCTTAGGAAGCACCAACATAAATCATTCTAAATATGGAAATCTTTGCATTGGTGGGAGGCGGTGTCATCTACAGTATCAGCCTGGCCTAGGGTTTCCATATACCCTTGAGCCAGTTGGCACTGCTTGTTGGCCTTCGGCATCTAAATTCTCTTTTAGCTTACTATACTGACAATTGTATGTAAAACAAGTTAACCTGGGATTATTTCATTTATCAGTTCTGGTTTTTGATCTGCTTCATGCTCCATGCCAGAGACATATTTGTACAAGTTTAAATAATTTTTTGGAAGATTGTGATTTGTTTTGTTTCTCGTTCATTTCTGAATATGTTCTTTTCTCAGTAACATTATTGTTCTTTCCCTAGTTTTTGAGAAGCAACCACTCTTTGCAGTTATTTTGCTAGCTCTGAAAGCACTTGGATATGTAATTGCTGTGGCTGGATTTGCTTTGTGTGTGACAGGTAAACTATGTACTTTATGTGTTACAGCTTGGTTCTAAAGAAGTTATTTCACTTTTATATTGTGGCTGTCACAAACGAAAACAAAATTACAACAAAGCATAGCTATATATCTATATCAAATTCAAGACTTTTCAGATATTATCAACCCATATCAAATGCTGCTGGACTTCCAGTGTCCAAGTTAGCATGGGAAAAATGCTGGCCTTTTGTAGCTCAGCATCATCTAACATGTTCTTGAAAAGACGGTAATAATTCAGAAGTGCAAATGATTGCAAGTGTCACTGCTGAAAAGAATGAATACCTTCGAAGATCAGCTTAGCTATAGCTTAATCTGGGTTTGCTTTTGTGATGCTGTCTCTGTTTTTTTTCCTTCCTTGCCCAATGTCTTCTTCCCCTTGCCTCCTCTTCATCCAATTTATTCCCTCCATTTGCTTTTCTTCCTTGCTTCTTACGTCATTTCTGTGTGGTCCTTCCCTGGCTCACTCCTCCCTCCCTTCTAGCTGGGACGTGCTATGGTTGTGCATGGCTTCAGTTTCAAGGGGGAAAAGGTACTTTGCACAATGGCCTGCATGTAAGCATCTGTCAGTGTATCCTTAAGCCAGACTTGGATTTTCCTGGGTGGTGCTGCTGCAGTTGCTGTCAGCAGCTGTTCAATTCTGGGAAAAGACACGGATGCTTTAAGGAGCTGCCAAAGAAGGGGGGGGGGAATCTTACATTTGGTGATTTGTTCCTTTTGAACAAACAAGGTATTTTATAAATTTTACATTGCTTTCATGTTTCCCAGCTTGAGCTCCTGTATAACATGTGGGATGCAAATATAACAAGTTATAAATAAAGCTACTGCCTTAATATCAGGGCTACCATAGCAGAGCTGTAAACATCCAGATAATAGAGAAAACTCTCTTTGCTGTCATCTAGTAGTTATTGCACTTTCTGCAGCCCAGATATGGAAGCCCTATTTAATATGAACTGTAAAGCACTGTGATACAATTTAAACAATTGCATTTTTGAGCATACATTTTTATTCACTATTGGGGACCATCCTGCTTTCTGATGAATCAGTGGTTGTGAGAACAGATATGTTACCATGGCAGACATTTTGTGAACAAGGAAGGCTTCCTTCACAGCAGACTTTTTGTAAAAGTGCCTTTGAGGTGCTCTTAAAATTTCAAGTATACCTATCAGGCTTGTGGGTTGTGGGTTCCTTGTTACATCTGGAAAAGTTTCACTGTTATGTTATACAGTATAACTGTTTTAACTGAGACAGCCTTTCCTATCCCAGTTAAGCAAACACATGTACAAACTATTCTTCCATAAGAAAGAAAGAAAGAAAGAAAGAAAGAAAGAAAGAAAGAAAGAAAGAAAGAAAGAAAGAAAGAAAGAAAGAAAGAAAGAAAGAAAGAAAGTTCTGCTAGTCCTAACTTTTATATAATAAAGCCATGAAGATATCAAACATCATTTATATATATAATTTCAAGATGTCCTTGCATGTTCTAGTATGAGGTCTGAATAATATAAGGCTGGAGAGCTATGACCACTTGAACATCTGTGCAGTAGTTGTTCAGAGCTGGAGAAACAAATGTGTAGAAAGTACAAGCCCCATCTTTCATTATCTTTCAGTGCTAATCTAAATGCCCACATTTTTTTCTCTCAACAGCATGTCACCCAAAACATGGATCTGTTGTGATTGCAGGCTTAGCATTTATTGATGCTGTAGCAGCAATTGGCTTAATTTATATTATTATTATTATTGGTAAGTAATGTCTGTATAAAATTTGTATTCATTTATTTAATGCAATTTAAAGGCTGTTTGACCCCAGATGACTCTGGGTGGGTTACATTTTCAAAATATAAGAATAATTAAAAAGAAAAAGAAACAGATTATAAGCATTCGGAAGGCAAACTGTATAACAGCACAACATCCCAAATGGGCTCAACCACTACCGTGCTCCAAGGTCTGGGTGTATAGTCAGGTTTTTGGTGATTTTCTGAATGTCATCAGGGTGGGAGCTGTATGGATCTCGAGAAGGATGCTACGTCAGAAGGCAGGTACTGTTAGAGAAGAACACACTTCCTGGGTTCCAATAGATGACATTGTTTCATTGGAGGGACCTGAAGTGAACCCACTCTGCCCAGTCACAGTCAGATATAGACAGTCCATCAGTATCCTGGCTGTATGCCATAAAGGGCTTTATAGATGATAACCAGCACCTGAAACGGCACTTGAGCGGTAGCAGCACACGGGCCTGATGCAGCATGCTCATTCATTCTGGACCAGCTGTAGCTACTGAGTGACCTTTACAGACAGCTGGTGTAGAATGCATTGCAGTAGCCCATTTGGGAGGTGACTGGGGTGTGAGTGACTCTCTGAATGGCCTCCTGGCCCAGGAACAGGCACAACCAGCACACTAGGTGAATCTGTGTGAAAGCCCTCTTGCAGCTGCCATCTGCTCCTTAAAGTATGTTTAAATATAATTTAAGTATACTTTAAATTAAGTTTATATGATGCATAAATATTAAGTTAGGAAAATTCTTGAGGTGCTTTTAGAGATACTTGATCAATACATTTTTTTTTTATAAAACAAATATTTGGATCATGATCTAGCATTGTTTGTGAATGAGGAAAGTTAGGACAGTGGGTGTCCTTCTCTGTCATGGCATGTCAGTCTTATGTTATCATGACAAGGTTTTTGTTTTTCATCACTGACCACAGAGACCACATTTTTCCTCTTTTTGTAATTGAATCTGTTTTATGTGAATAGAAAAGGAAACAGAAGAATTATCAGTGCTACATGTCTCTAGCAAAGGGATCTCTATATCTTAACAAAGTTCATTAGTTCTGCTCTGTTTTATGCTAGAGATCCCTTGAGAAACCTGTATGTGATTCACATATATAGCAGTGAAATTCAGTTAACCATTTGTGTCATACATGGCATGTTATTTTACCCACTTGGTTAATTATAATCGTATATCTGTTTTTAGGCATAGGAGTATCTGAATGAATCACACTTAATATGTGATGTTCTACTATTTAGTCAAGTTTCCTCTGACAAAAAATATTGCTTAATGAACACGCAGTTAGTAAATGTAGCCTAGGTTATTTGGCAATGTAGTATAGCTCTGAATGGTTGATAATAAAGGCAATAACACCACAACATCTTGCAATTTTAGCAACAGTCAAGACCTTTAGCTGAATTAACAGTTGTATTATATGTTTCAAATGATCCACAACTGGAATATGCTTTGATACACCCTTGATTAGGAACATTTTATTGCATTCACTTATTTTTTATTAATACATGTATACCATACCTTACCATATGAATATTTGAAGCCTCAGACAATTAGGGGAAAAAATAGGAAACTTTATAACAGATGAGTTAGACAGAGTGACAGATTAAAAATTATGGCATTTATTAAATAAATTAATAAAAGCCTGCCATAATTAAATGAGCATTTACAAGTTTATGGAATGTCATTAAGAGGAGTACAGATGATCAGTCAAACAAAATATATAGACATTTATCTAAGTGTCTAAAATTCAACATCTTAAAAAATTGAATGTGAGTATTCTATGATTGGCGCATGCAATGCCATAAACAGTTTCTTCACTTTGCACAAAATTAGTCTTTTTCATTGGTTCAGATACAGTGCTAAGCATAATGTGGCATGTTAGCTTATGTCTTGACATGATATGCAATCATTTCATGGTATTTTGTGTGGACCTGGCCACTATGGCTTGTTTAGCAGACCATATTTAAAATACTGGATTAATGTTATGTTGGTTCTGTGTGAATGCAACCATTCTGTTTCTGCTCATAGCATATTAAAATTTGTGCCAATAGAAAATATTTTTCGGAAATCTGTATAATGAAGAATCTGCTGGTAACCGGAGATTTCACTCTCCATAGTTATTTCAAAACATCATGATTTTCTTGGTACACAAATCCTCAGTGCTGCTAGGCAGAAATATAAGCAAATGCATGACCATAACTATTTAAACAAGCAAAAGTCAAACAAGGACAATTTAATAGTAGCTCTTTAATCCTAAATCTTGTCAAATACAGAGAAGTACTTCAGGCCAGACCTACCTACTCAGCATCACATTTAGAGTTAATTCTTAGTATATGTTTCCCATTAATTTATTTGTACGTTGCGATGTTACACATGTTTTTCAATCATATATGATTGGTTTGTTTGCTACAATCTTCCAAAGGTGGATCAGGTACCTAATTTTATTGCTATAATGGCACAAAGAGAAAGAGGTGCACTATACTGGGTTAATGGAAACCCTACAATCAGTAAGAGTTGATTGGATTATATTTTTCCTGTTGGGAACCTAATTATAACCCCAAATAGTAAAATTTATGCATGGAGTCAGCAGACAGTAATACTGTAAGTTGCTTTACATTTGTTCACACCACTTGGTCAATCTAGCTCAGTATTCTCTGTTGCAGTGATGGTCAGTTTCCCTCATTTTGACCTTCTAGGGCTAGAGGAAATTGGATGGTGACCAGACCAGACGGACAGTGTCTTGCTCAAAATAGTTGTATTAGGCCAGAAAAAAAAAATCAAAACAAAAATTTTCTTTATGGGAGGATACCACATCAGGGTGCAAGTTTGGATGGCTTAAAATATAAAACCTATTTTGCAGTTTTTGAGGGGCAGAATGAGAAAATTATGTCACAGAATGTTAGCAGAGTTATCAGGGAATTTCTACAGTGTAATTTATAGGTACTCTGGAGCCTTAAAATGAGATTTGGGGCAAGGTTGATCGCCCATGACTTAACTCTATTTTAGTTTAGAATAGTTTAAACTAAATACAGTTAGTTAAAAATCCAATAAAGTTGTCTTTTTGCTATTGAATTTCAGTGGTGCAGTTTAAGGGAGCTTCAGAAACCTAAACATGATGGCTCACATCTGATTTATCTTGCAGACAAATTCTTTCCAAATTCCCAGGGTTCTATTTTGTTCTAAAGTAGAATTAATTTTGATGTGCTATTATTATATCATGATTTAAACAGCAAGATTTTAGTATAAGTGGAGGATGCTGATAAAAGGCTGCTTTGAAATAACAAAGAAAGCATTCTAAAACTGCATTAAATAATACATGATTTGAGCCAGCTTTGATGTACAGAGTTATTGCCCTTATATGCACTGCCAGCTGGAATGTAGTCATGGTTGGTTTAAAAATATTTATACCCTGTTGTTCTGTTACAAATAGCTGCACCTAATGAAAATTATAAATCAAATGATTAAAATCATAGTATGAGAAAACAAACTTCAGTCAACAGAAAGAAAAAAAATTCAAGGAATACAGTCTAAAATAAGTATTGTTGGTGTATTTCTGAAAGTTAGTTCACATATGCAGTTCCATCATACAATGTCTCTAACTAATATATGTGAATAGATTTTCATATATCTAAAGATTAAGAACAACTTTATATTTTCTTCCAAAAATTCTTCTTTTCCCCTTCATCCACCTGACATCATAGGGGGACATAAATGTGGGGTGATGATGCTAAGTAGATCATAGAATGTTGGGAATTTATTGAGAATACATTATTTTTCCACCTGCAAGTTCAGAACTCTAGGAGATAGGAGGTAAAGGATATGGAAGATTCACTATAATCTGTACCAGAAATAATTGTTTCACAAGGTCAGATTAGATAGTAATTCCAGATCATTCTCAATTCCACTATGGCTGCTTCCATTATAAGAATGCATTGTTTCAGTTGCTCAGTTTTCTTCCTGGAAGTTCAGTAATTTGGGGATCCCAGTGTTTATGCTCCAAACACAAGAAAATGAGCTCATAGCAAATCACATCTGAGAGATGTTAACATTTAAATGCTGTATTTTCATAACCTTGTTGGAATCAGAGCAGATTTCTGCTGGATTAACCCTGTTGTAGAAGGATAATTGTAAGAGGACAACTTGCTAGTCTGCAGTTAGTCTTTACTCCTGTCTTGTATAACTAAACTATCTAAAGTTCCCCTAATGTTGCAGTGGTTTGTTGCTTTTATCCCTAATTTAGTTTATGAAGGATGTCATAATGCAATAACTGAAAGACAGAAATAGACTCCTACTTAAAAAAAAAATTGAAGGGACGTTAGGTTGAAATTCTGATGAAATCACCCATGCAAAGTGATTAGATATTTGTGTTTGAGGTATCTAATAAGAAAATGTGTGTTATTTTTTTTATAATCTAGGTTCCAAGTTGAAAGATCATCAGCCTCCAAGGGTAAGCTTAAAATTAATGTATTTGGGGTGTCTAGATGGCTCAGGAATTTGTAATAAGATGCTGAGCCTTTCACATTTGCAGGTTGGTAGCAAGCAAAAGCCACAGAAAACATGGCAAGAATGTGTGTTGTCACCAACTGGCTCTCTATACTTTCTTCAATGATCTTGACTGATTATGTGCTAACAAGTCAGTATCAACTCTCTTGGGACACTATAAAACTGGGTTTCCACATTTTTCCATTGTACTCTGTAAGAAGTCTTTCTGGCAATATCTTTTCTTACCCTGTTCCATATAGAAACACTGCAAAATGCAAACTTGACTTGCAGCTTGACCAGTTATCCACTGTCTATGGGGGATTAGTATTATTATATTATTCTGTATAGTCAAGATTTAATGAGGTATTTAAAAATTAGGTTGAATTGTTGCCTGCACGTAGTATATGTTTTTATTTCTTTCTTTAATTTTATTTGAATTTATAAGCTGCCCAACTCCAATGGAGTCATTTTCGTTGGTTTTCCCCTTTTTTCCTCTGTGTGTCACTACACATTCTCCCCTACCTATTTTTCCCTCTCTTTTCTATATTAAAGCTATAAAAAAATTAAAAGCCCCATTTAAAAAAACAAAATCCAAAAATGTGGAAAAATACAATCAAGCTAATCTACTGTATATCAATTAATTTAGGGTTTGAGCCCTGAAATGGCAGTTCACCTGTTCATGCTTAGCTGTTAATGGATCGATAAACCAATGTATATTCTGTAAGAGGCTGCACAATGTAATCCCCCACTCCACTGCCCCCCCCCCGACTGAAGGCCAATTTTAGCTTTTGAGTGGCATGTCAGCAACCATACAAAGAAGTGAGACAAAAAACTTAGTTATGTATGCACCTGGCTAAAATAAAATCTAACAAATCAGTTCCTATATTAGCCTCCTATATATTCTGTATTTTCTTTCTTCTGCTGTGTATCTCCACTTTATAATTTAATCACTGAACAGATTTCAAAGATTCACTACTACATTGATTTGGATTAACATTTGCATTTTTAAGATAGACATTTTGCTAAGTTTTGGATAACTGGTGCAGGCAATGCAAATATGTGTATGTGAATTATTGTCTTGCGTGATCCCCTATACATTCTTGGATGATTGAAGAAAGGCAGTATCATACTATGAAGGGATTAGCAGATAATTGGGGGCATGCGCACAATGTTCCTAAGTCTTGCTTCTTGTTTTGTGGTAGGTACCTCTCTGTCCTACAAGAGCTTTATGAACTACAGCTTTAGATGTGCATATTCTGTTATATGAAAAATTGTGCCTAGGGAGATGATTGATAGGAGACAGCATGATTGTACAATAGTGAGGGGTAATGCAAATCCATGGGCAGCCAGGATTGGTGACCCTCTTAGAGGGTGTACTAAATTGACTTCCAAGAAACAAATAAACAAATCTGAAATATCACAAGATTGTTTGGTTTTTGTGGGAGATCTCATGAGATAGAAAGATGCAAAATTTCCCAAGGGTGCCTGCTGTCTGGGATGATTGCTGACTCCAGCTCTATTGTCTTTCATCTATGCTGCCTTTGTTGTGCTCTTTTCCTTTGTTATGCATAGAAAGTAGAAATATGGTTGAACCTGTGAACTTTGTTGCAAGTCTGTGTCCAATAAAATGCAGATTGGGTGATAACTTTTGTTTTTGCACATAACATTTAAGGTGGTAAGTGGGGCCCGTGATTGTCCCCTGCACAAATAAAAATAAAAGAGAACTCATACCTACCCTTTTCCTTGACACCTACTTTTAAATGCATAGAAGTATAGTGGTTTAAGATAAGGGAGTCAGTTATTTGAGTTTTATCAGTCTGCAGTGCTTTAGTTCATTTTATCACCTCTGTTAGAGTTTCATACCTAGGACTTTTCTTTAACTGAGTGTATTCTACTTGAGACCATTGTTACTAGTTTCTAACAGTACATAAAAAAATAAGCTGTAGTAAAAGTCCTTTCAATGATTCATTTGTCAGACATCCACCACTCTTTGGCGTGTTTTCTTTTTTACTCTGGCAACAGATGAAATTTCTAGACCTTTTCTTTAAACAGGTGTGCAATGTGTGGTGCACTATTGTGGATGTGTCAAGTTCTGCACTGTGCCTTAGTGGAGAAGTTAATTTTAAAATAACAGAGCAGAAGTTGGTTCACACATTTCTTAGTCCTGTCCATGTCCTATCTGTGAATCCCTCCCTTATGGCTTGCTTTAATCATAGCATGGTATTGTGTCTGCACTGGCATTAGCCAACTCTTTATGATCAGACTCATTAAGTTTGGAATCCCTGATTTCAAAATGGTTTTGTGGGCAATCCTGGTCCAGATAACCAGGTTTATTCTTTAAGTGATTTATATATTATTCTATTGTGTGCCCTTTTTCCAGAAAATTCATAAATTGTCTGTACAATTCAGTAATCAGAAAAACAAGAAATAATTAAATGCAATCTTTAACTGGTAAAGACTTGCTCTCTCTGTGTGTATGTAAAGCACATGCATCTGTGTATATCTGTCAGTCTACCAACCTACCTACCTTTCTGTCTGAGAGCCAGTGTGATGTAGTCGTTAATGGGCTGGACTAGGATAGGGGAGACCCAGGTTCTTGTCCTCCCTTAGGCACAAAAGCCAACTGAGTGACTCTGGGCCAGTCACTGTCTCTCAGCCTTAGGCTAGGAAGTAGAAAAACATGTATCTATCAGCCTGCACTGGTCCACCATGGTAGATTAATGAAGAGGCCAGTAGATTGAGTCAGCCTGAAAAGAATACACAGAAATTAGGCACTGAGATCTTTGTTTTGTGCCTAAAATCTTGAAGCCAAAGCCACACACAATTTATATAGACAAACTTTAGACCAGTTTAAATAGTTAGTGCCTGGTCAAAATGAATGTGGTTAAATAAAGCATCCACAAAACAATTTTGTTGGTATCCGATGTTTGTTTGGCCATCTTAGTGGTATCATATAAAAAAATTACTGAATTTATTGACATGAAGTGAAATAGAAGAAAAGGGATGAATATTGGTATTTTACAATGGCAGCATCTGTATATTTCTGATGAAGTCATCACATCCCTTACCTGGTCCCTTAACTACGTTTTAAGAAAAGGAGCTGCCTCCTATTTCCAATTCATTAAAACAGTAATTCTGTTGTCCTCAGAATTTTGGCATAAATATACTTGATACCATCTTTGTTAAAGTTTTGATAATGTGTTTGAAAGGAGCATTGGTTTGGTTCTTCAGCTTGTTTCTGTGATTTGTAGTTTGCTACCAGTTAATGAAATGTATTCCACAGTTGTCATTGCAGACGCGATCTTGCTAAGTACAGCTACTTGTTGTTTCTAGTGTTTGTTTTCTGTATTACAGCTAAATTGTAAAGAGAAGCTATTGCCACTGAAGTACTTCTGAAACAGGCATGTCATCATCATTTATAGCCTGGAAATAACAAACCTGTCACTAATCTTTCTAATGTTTTGCTGCCTCTTTTATTTGTTTTGTAGAATCACTATTTATTGTATATATCAATTAGAGTTGTTTAATTCTGGACCTCCAAACTAGACATGAAAGCTTTATATATTTTAAATATTTTACAGAAAGCTGTTGAAGAATCACTTAATGGTAGGTGGTAATTGTAATTTTGTCCAGTTTGGGAGATTTGGCATTGGTGTTTTGATTGACATCAGAACAGATACTTATGCAAGATACTATAAAATTAATCATGGCATCAAATCACTGGTGATCTTCTGGTCTTTACAAGTGTTAGTCAATGCTTTGCAATATAGTAGTTCTTGGTTTGACTACTTGATGGTATTTTTTTAGGATAATGGGATAGTGATCATTTAAGTTGCTTGGCCAAAAGAATCAATCTCTTAATGTGAAGGGAGATTTCTTCTAAAAGGTAGATGTTACCCTGCCTTTTGCATGGGGTGCATGAATTTCTGGGATGATGCTAAGAAAAAACTATGCTTTTTTTGTCTTGCTGTTGGATCTCCAAATTCTTACTTGATCCAGCTGGTTTGGAAGCACTTGTGCTGATATAAAATCAAGAGGAATGTTGATTGTGTGTGGATTAACAAGAGGTATTTTTTTAAAGTTGGTGCTCTCATTTCTTCCATGTTACATAGAATTATGGCATGCTGTGATCTATTCTGTTCTTGCTTGCTTGACTAACTACTAACTTCTTGCTTATTTTTTCAAAAGATGCAAAAGGAGTGATGTTAGAATGATGATGGTGAGTAACCATTGTCTGTATTTTGGGTGCATTTTTTGGGTCAACATGTAATTGTCTTTCTTTTGTTCTACATATTTTTAATATAGAACTTGGAATGCATGATTTAGTGTTATAGACTCATCCCAATAAGACATAAATAGTTGCCAGCTTGGTTACAGCATAAGCTTCATCATAAAATTGCTCCTATGTCTCACAACTATAGGTTTTGTTTCTCTTCTAATGTATAGCAGCAACGTAAAGCAAACCATTGCTTTTCTTATTTTTCAGAATCTTGGCACGTAATAATTTTGTTGCAAATGCTCCAGAAATATGATTGTTATACTAAGTGTCCTTGTCCTTCTGGCATATCAAGCAAAACATAATTATCTCTCAAAATGTCTATAAACTGTTGAGCTTCAAAACTCCGCATGAAAATAATGTTATAAGGCTTCTGCCTGTTCCTAAGCTAGTGTAAAGAGGAATTTTCTCAGGCCTTTGGAACATATAGGGAATTTTAGGGTTCAAGCTGATGGGGTTTTTTGCTGCCATTGGGAGCAGAGAAAATTTATGTTCTCGGGTTTAAATTCCCAGATATATGCTGAAGTATCCCAGTCTGTATAACATTAGATATATTGTTTGGTTCACAATGCTAGTTTTATCCCTGGTCAAGTAACCACTGTTGGTCCATGTGGCCTCTGAGACAGGCACCAAAATAAAATAAAATAAAGTAATTTAAAAATGGCTAAGATAGATAGATAGATAGATAGATAGATAGATAGATAGATAGATAGATAGATAGATAGAACTTGTATGTGTGTGTGTGTGTGTGTATGTGTATGTGTGTGTGTGTGTATGTATGTGT